TAATTCATTGCCAGGCCCAGACCTTAAAACAGCATTGATAACTCTACGGCTGATAATACTGAATTGCGACACCCTCTGGTTGGTTATATTACAGACAGAGGAGTAATTTTCTTTGATCATCCGAGGAGACGTGTGGGGGGGAAAAAAACATCTTCGTCGTCTTCATCATCGGTGAACTATATAAACTATATATCGAACCCCCCCGGCAGTCATCCGTGCAAAACTGGTTCCTTAAGGTGCTGGAAAAACCAAAATGGATATTGAAAGTGCTTTAAAAGTGCTTGATTTTGACTTTGGAAAAGGTGTACGAACCCTGGGTCTTTTCCAACCATAAAAACTCATTCTTTTCAATATGTTTAAACATAAATACTGCTCTCCGCATCATCATCTACCATGGTTGTTGTTTTTCTTGCCGCTTCTGCGTAGCAAGACACAGAATAGTGACATTTGTCGGGTATTAATGGCGTTCAGGTCGGATAAATGCGACCTGACCGTTCACACACAGGTTACATTTGAAAAGATCAGATTCGTATGGGATTCAGGACCACAAAGCCAAGTGGCCTGGGTCGGATTGGAAAAAATCAGATCTGTGTTGTTCAGACAGCCATCAAAGGTCAGATCCAGGTCGCATATGGGCAAAAAAATCGGATTTGGGTCACTTCAGATGCAGTGTGAACGTAGCCTTAGAGTTCTCAGGTATTTCTTGGTTGCCCTCTGTCTCCTTTTCCCTAGCTCCTTCTAGATGCCTCTGTTCACACCTGCTCCCAATCAGCTCATTAGTCCCGTCTTTTTCTCCCATAAATACTCTCCCTGTGGCTCTTCATGCATGTCTTTCCCTGATGTCTCCAAGGTTCTGGTTTTTTGCACTTATGTTGGATTTTTGGATACCTGCCTCAGTTACCTGTGAGTACTCCATTAAAACTACAAGAACTCACCTCTGCCTCCTCACCTCTAAACCTCAACCAAACCCCGACACTGACATTTTTATTTAGTTTAGACAGAAATCTTTACTTAACCCCTAGAACCCTACGGACCCACCGGTGGGTCCAGCTGCTATGTGACCTCGTAATTTTAACAAACCCCCAGTACTGATGTAAAAAAACACATTTGGCACAGTTTGGTGACATTTTTGGATAAATGTGCCAAAATGGCCTCTCCGCCTAAGAAATTTCTCACTAATACCATTCTAAAATAAATATCATTCATCTGATTGAGTCCAAATTTGGTATATTTTTACACAACATTTAGATTTAAAAGTCTGTACTACTTTTTTGTGCTATAAATAATATTTTGGTAGTGTTTTGCAATGTTTATTTCAAAGAAAATTTTGGCGAGGTTCAAAAAATGCAAAATATTTTGTATTTTGTCCCTAATATTTCAGGCAGGGTCAAAGCTACAATGGTGCTGACACCAGAAAACCATTCTATGACATCTTACCTTTACAGACGTACAAAAAGTTTCTTCTTAAATCTAATAGCTGTGAGGCTATAAGTGATTTACTTTTGTGTGTTTTTGTCAGGCAGAAATTTATTTATGCCCCCTGAGGGTGTAAGAGGTTAAACAGAGTATTTTTTTTAAAGTTTTTACCCAGGAATTGTGAATTTAAAGAGGTTCAGTCAGAAGGTGTACCACATGCCAAGTAAAAACACATAAAACATTGTGACAGTATAATGCTGTTGTGTTTTTATCAGTGAGGAAAGCTGAGATGATCAGAGTTTATAGGGAGATGGATGAATCTCCAGACCAATCCTGGAAGGGGGATTATTATGGGCTGCAGACTTGAAGCAGGGGTGGAGGTTCACTTTCCAGCCACATTACCTGCCTAAAAATTCAAATATTTCATAAATCAAATCTGATTAAGGTTGATATTTTGGGAAAAACACTTTGTTTAGAATGAGACAGTCTAAGTTGAGACACAAACCCTGCTGGGTAACATTAAAAAAAGGAAATTCATGCAGAACTTTTTCTATTTCTAAAGAAAGAATGAGCATAATTTCAGTCTAAATGAGCAAAGCTGGTTGAAATATACCTGTAAACATTTGGCAGCTGTTACTGCACATTAAAGTGGTTCTAAAAAAGGAGCATTTGTTAATAAAACAAGGAAACCATTTCAAAATGACGTAATATGCAGTGGTGGTGTTTTGTGACTAACCTCTGGGTTCCAGAGAGTTGTGACTGTTTTCGTCAAATTCGACTCCTTCCTGCGAGCTCCCAGAGGTTTTCACACAATTGTCTTCAGAAAACAAAGAGGACAGAATAAAAGATATGAAGATTAAGCTCTCCAAACGTCAAAAAGCTGAATTTGAGTCATATAACAAAGAAAAAAAAAAGGAACAGAAAGAGAACGGGAATTGTGCTAAGAGACACAACAAACGTGCTGCTCACTTTGGGGCCTGACGAAGACCTTGAGCCGAAGGCAGCTCCTCCGTCCTCTGACGTCGGTGATGGTGGCTGCGGGAAACGGGACACAGTGTCAAACCAGAACACTTCAGACGCATTACCTTCAGTTCTACAAGTTAAATTACCCCCCATGAACTAATCTGCAGCGGTGTGAGCATGGAAAATGTCATTAAAATGTCAGTCTAAATGTCACCATCATTACTGCACTTGAACCTACTTTGACAAAAGACATAATGAACAATGAGTGATATGTTACGATGAAGGTGTTTCAGGTTTCAGTCATTTCTAGCTGAACCCACAGACCTGATTGTTATACTTTGACTCCTCAGAGCAATTTTAACCTAAAACAATGAATTTCTTGAATTAAATATTTGTGTATTTCCATTTTATACGTGCAGATTCAATAACATGAGGGGGATTTACTAATAGGCAAAACTAGGCAGTTGCTTAGGGCCCCTGTCAGGAATCCAGTTGGTGTGGTCTGTTGTTTGTGTTTGTCTCTCCCTCCACCACCAGGTGGCGCCCTGTCCTCGTTGGTCCTCCCTGCACACCTGCGTCTCGTTGGATCTTTATCGGGAGGAGTACTTAAGCAGTGGACTGTCACTACTTCGAGGCCAGAGTGTTTGGGTACTCTCACCAAGCTGAGTCTAACTGAGTCTTTGTTTCTTTGAGTCTAACGTTGTTTTTGTCTTTTTCGGCAGGAAGTCATCCTGCATACGGGATGTTTGGCCTTCTCCCCCTGGAAGGATTGTTTGTGCTTCACGCTGAGCAGGGGATTAACCTCCACACGTCTCGTTCAAGTTCTCTTGGAATTCCAAGTGGCAGTCCGCTCTATTGCTCCTCAGGGTCCAACAATTGTCTACCTGTCCACTTTCCAACGAGTCCCCTCTTCTCTGGATCAACCAACACTGACTGGATTTGAGTCTCTCACTAGCATTAACCTTGGGGCATCCAAAATTCCCACGGTCCCTGAACTAATCTTTGATATATCCTCTCCTGACTTTCTAGTTCCTGTTCACCAGCCCTCTGAGTTCCATCCAACCCCCGCTACCCTTACCTCAATAAACCTGTTTAACCTTTGCCTTGCTCTCTGAGTGGTTCTCTGCATTTTGGGTCAGACCTCTTAAACACATCATGACAGCCCCAACTCTGTTTACATTAATTGTTAATCCAACTATTCCTAATTTGTGACATAAATTATTATTATAAAAAAAAACTTTTGTTAAAATGCCATCAGACTGTTTATAATATTAAGTGTCTCAGCCCCCCCTTTGAGTGTCCAAACAAGCAGCAGCAAATTCTTTGAAAACAAATGGTGATAAAAGAAGTGTGGCCAACTTAGAGGTTTTGCCGCCATATTTACTGACTTTTTAGACAATGCTAGCACTTTATTACAAAAAAGCGCTTTGCGCCAAATCTAGTAACTTAAAAAAAGTTACTAGATTTGTATAAAAAGCACAGAACTCTGCTCTCCAGAGCAAGTAGATTGGTAACCCCGCCTCCTGCTCTCCTCCATCTTGTCTGCTGTCATGATTCATGCAGCTATTATTTCATTTAAATGAAAAATGGAGAACAGATAAGCAGATCATGACTTGTCTACAGTGAAAAGAAGGACTGCTGTCGCCTTTTTGGAAACACAGGAAGGAGCAATCAGCTAAGTAGTGATTGGAAAATATTAGATTCCTTTTGAGGCAGCATGAAAAGTGAGCTGAGCACATTGTTAATATGAGAAGAACAAGGGACAAAAGAAATCATAGAGAGGAAAACAGCAAGAAAAGAGATAAGAAGAGAGGGACAAAACGTAGAACAAACAATTTATGTCTTTTCTACTCAATTCAGAGGACCCCCTGCCTGTCTTTGCCTAGGGCCCCAAATTTCCTGAATCCACCCCTGCCGCCAGGGGAAGGATTGGGTCACTCCAGTGGCTGGAAGTTAGAGGGGATTCTGCTGAGAGTTGTATGAAAGCGGGCGGCCATACAGCTGGCATTTGACTAGGAAGGGCCATTTTGAATGGCTGCTGTAAGAACCAGAACACCAAAAAGAAAGTTTGATAAAAAGGTTTGAACTTTGCCGACCATCTCCCCACTTTTATCCACTCCACCTGAGATCTCTTTGCAGGATAAACCTACTTTTGGTCAAAAACAGCAGTGAAACAGGAGGAACGGACAATCTGACAAGGTCGATGGTTTCTTCATCGGTGGTATTCCACACTTATCCCTCTTTTTAAAAACAACTGAAGAGCTTCATCCCGCTGTCTGAGCTCGGCGCTTGCCGTGCTGCGAGTGTGTTTCAGCCTCCATATTTTATGTCAATGTCACCCTCATATTTCCAAGTCTAATTTGGCCAGGGGCAGTCATTTCTGCAGATGTGTGGCACGCCGTTATGCTCACCTGCAGAATCTCATTTCCTGTGTTTCCTGATTGTGAAAGGCAGAGATTAAAACCCTTTCTTCTGAATTAATTTTCAAGTAGAGCTGAGGGGATCTAGCTGTGAGTCGCACTTTTGTCAACAGCCTTTTCATTTTCAGTGGGAACTTATCTCCAACCCCCAACAGATTCCGTCTGCTCCTCTAATGCCTTTGCAGACGTGCTACAATAACACCACCGCTGACATTTTTGGGAAGTCAAGAGTCTCAAACAAAACTGATCTGACCGCTCAGACACACAGACAACCTTTAAAGGGTTCGGACATTTAAGCACATGTACGTGCATGTATGTTGGTTGTGGTTTCCCACGTATGTGCATCTGTGCTCAAACGTGTCCACAGTTTGTCCATCTAGAAGTCTCTCGCTGTGATGGATTCTGTCCAGCGACGAATTCCTGATAGAAACAGTGTGTCAATGTTTCCACTGTCGCAGGTCACTTCAGCTCTTATTTCAAAGGACAATTTATTATCAGATGGCATGCGGCTGTGAGGACTGACAAAACTTTTCACTAAACGCTGCTACGAGAGGAAAACGGGATGGGAAGCATCAGAGGGAGGAAATAAACGAGAAGAAGACTGTCAATCAGTTTCTTTAATGGTTGTAAACCTGAACGAAGGCCCAACAAAACTTTCTACTTCTCTCTCTCATCCTTCTGGGGTCCAGGTTTCCTGGGCCGTTTTTTAGGGACTCTCCTGTAAAAACTACATCTTTCCATTTTAAATGGAAGATCTGAAGCAGTGTGAGTGGGGGCCAGCAGCGCGCTCTGTCATAAAACACAGGAAGAGCTCCAGGGTATAAACTCTGCCAAAGGCTCTTTCTTCCAATAATTGTTAAGAGAGAACAAAACTATTCCTCTAAGTAGATACGTTTACTTTAGCACATGGTAATAGTAATAACCTGGTGAAGATTCTCAGTCATTCAGGTTATAGTCAATACCAAAAAGTTAAAAAACAAAAACTTTGTTTTCCACGTTTGAAGAGGTTACAGTTCTTTTTTGCACGTTTTCTTTGTTGGTTCACTCTAAAGCTTGAAGCTCAACACTAATTCAGACATTTGGAATTTGAAAAAGCGTCCTGAATGGGAAGCGAAACGTCTTCCAACTTTGAAACAAAATCCAGTGGACAGTTTTTTAACTTTTTTTGGAATCTGAAAAATATCTCACTTTTATTATGTAGGATAAAGCTTAAATTCTTTTAATATCCCCTTACTTTCTTACAGGGTGAAACTTGTCCTCTGTCGCTAGTTGCACACATTTAGTGGCAGACAGGGAGCTTTCTGGAATAAAGAGTTTGGAAATAAAGACATTCAGGACATAAAAGCCCTCCTCTCTAACCCCCAGACCATCACTATCCCAATAAGCACCTTCCATTTCAAATATCTTTAGGTGATTTACAGGTTTAAGGTATTTCTAGGTAATAGAAATCAACTTAAAAGAATGACTTGTAGTAAAAAAAACAACATATAGCTCTTTAGAATATCTGTATTTTTGGTTTTATACAAAGTATTTGTAAAAATTTAATTTTTTTTAAATTCTAGGATGTAATTTAGCTCTGTTTTACATTTGTATGTGTTTTTTTCTACATTTCTTGCTGCTATTTTCTGATAACAATGTTCTTCTAGCTAACGTCATAACAAAAAATAAAAAAAATAAATATATACTAACAACAAACAGTTAAAACTGGCAAGTAGCTCAGTATCAAACCAAGGTTAAATTCAATTAAATAAAATATATTTTGATATTATTTTGTCTGATATTATTATTATTTTTAAATTTTTTGCTTCTTAATGATTAGCTTCTAACGCTAGCTCGCTAACCTGTTCTGGTAGCTAAAGCTAGCCAATAACACAAAAATAAAACTCGTCAAAAATGTGATGTATCAATGAATAAAACACTATTTTAAAATATTTTCATATTTAAATACATTTCTAGAAGCTTAAAGAAGAGGTTATATAATTTTAAACTAAGAGGTTATATAATTTTACACTAAGATACGTGTAAAGGCTATTCCATACATCGATTTACAGCATTTATTATTAACAGATTTAATATCTTATTCTGAAACATGTAAAAGCATATATTGTGATAAAGGCATTTTTTATTTTTTATTATTTTAAAGGACATTTGAAGATTTCTTTAAATGTTTTGATTTTCTTGATTTTGGGAGCTTTAGCTCCAAAAGGGGATAGCGGTCATGCCCGGGGATTAGCAGCTAAAGCTAGTGCAGGCTATTTGAAATTTAACGAGAAGATTTAAGTAGAACAAATGTAGTTTTTTTAGGACTAAATCTTATGTGAATTCTTAGGGAACTGTTTACTTATTGAGCCACTAATACATGTTTATAGCTTTGTTGAGTTGTTGCTATGCTAGCTTTAGCCAACAGAGCAGTTGTACGTAGAGAAAAATATTAAATCTCACTAAAATCTTTTTAGAGCGCTAAAAAAAAATACATAGGAGTAACAATGACTAATATTTTAAGGAAATTCTTACTGCTTAACTTTATTTATTACATAGCTTTAAGTGGTCCTGTGAAAGAGTGTTTGAGTTCATGATGATTTTCATTATTCTGCAAACAGTGAAATCCTCATCATTTTCTATATTTACCATATTTAATCAATTCAAATCTGG